CTTCCTTCCTTCCTTCCTTCCTTCCTTCCTTCCTTCCTTCCTTCCTTCCTTCCTTCCTTCCTTCCTTCCTTCTCCTCTCCTTTTCTTCTTTCACCTGTCCTCTCCTCTTCCTTTCTGCCCTCCCCTCTTCCCCCCTCCCCTTCCCCCTTCCCTGTTCCACCTGCCTCCCTGCCTCCTTACTTAAAACTATCTCTACCAAAATCTTGCAATTCTCCAAATGCTCTCATCTAAGAGGAGGATGCTGGAAACCTCAAGCATTCTCTCTTGAAATCTTACAAGATAAGACAAACACACGAGATTTATGGCATTTTTAAAATCCTTCCATCGGTACTGAATTTTATGACTCCATAATTCTGTTAGGAATTGTGAAACACAATGGTTGATGCTTTGACATTGCCTCAAGACGTCCATTTTATACCGGGTTGTCCATGCATAAATATATTTCTAAAGAAGTTATTTATGATCCAAATATAAAATGTTTATTGAAAAAAACAATGAAGAAGGAATGAAACAATAGTTAGCAACTGAATGGCAACCTGAGAATCTGGTCAAAATCTTGCCAGTTATGGTATTAATACCCATATTAAAAATGAAATTATGTGTACAATTTAAATTTAAAAAACCCTGTTTTTTCTTGACTACTTTTCCATCAATGAAATGATGTGGAGGGGCTAACATTACTCATTTTCCAACACGCTTCCTTGATTGAATTGAATTTTCTGGATTGTCACCACATGACCCGGAATTGAAGATAGGATCTCCCATTATTTTAATGAGGAACTTGAATCTTCCAAGACTTTTCAATAGCACACATATGAGAAGAACTCCATAAGAATCTCATTGTGTGAGATTCAAACGTCGGTGTGTTAAAAAAAATTATATTGTCACAATTCCAAGAATTACGCTCAATTTATCAGAAAATGAAGTTGTTCCTCTTCAGCAGACACATTCATTCATTCATTCATTCATTCATCCATTCCATTCATTTATCCATTCCATTCATTCATCCATTCCATTCCACCCATTCCATTCCATCCATTCCATCCATTCCATCCATTCCATCCATCCATTCAATTTTTATTGCCACTGAATTCAATCAAGTGATTCTGGGTGGCTTAAAACAAACAATTTAAAATACAGTAAAACAATATTTGTTCTCACTATACATAAAGCACAACCCACGGAAAATGTGCTGATTTTTCTGGAGAAACTGATATCCCAGCATAGTTAGCTGTATGTTGCTTTAAGCCAAGGAAAAAAGAAATGAAAACAATATAGTATTCCTAAAAAAATGGCACATCAACCACAAATACTGTCATCAAAGATGTCCTTTGTTAAATGAGAAACATCTATATTTCTTTTGCTACACATCTTTCTTCTTTAATAAAGTGTTCATTCTATTTTTCTGTTTAGGTAAAGAAATATCTCTGAAAGGAAAATCCAGTGGGTCACAGGTTGTCCAGTAATGCAATATAATCTGACACTGCATTTATCACAAATGCTCTAGGTAACTACAGAATATGTAGGTTTAAAAACAAGTACAATTCTACAGATTTTGTGTATTTTCCATGAGCACACCTTGATTTGGCTTAGGAAATGAACCAGAGGTAGGATTCAAACTTTTTTACTACTGGTTCTGTGGGCGTGGCTTGGTGGGCATGGCTTGGTGGGTGTGGCTTGATGGGCGTACCTTGGTGGGCATGGCAGGGGAATGATACTGTAAAATCTCCATTCTCACTCCACTCCAAGGGAAGGATACTGCAAAATCCCCATTCCCTCCCCATCCCACTAACCTACTTTCCAGCTCCGTTCTCCTGTGCAGGGCAACAAAAGAAGACTGGGGAAGGACAAAGTCCAGCTGGGCAGAGCAGGGAAGAGGAAGAACAAGGGAGAGGGAGTTCAGAGGAAGACCCAGGCCCACCCCCTCTTCATCCTAGGACATGAAGGAAGGAATGGAAAAGAGAACAATGTGGGTTGCATGGCTTATGGGGGAAGAAAGGGCCCTGATTCCCTTCATTAGCCACACCTGCGAATGAGAGTTTAAAAGAAATGCATGCTGTGTGTTGCAGCTTCTGGGAGAAAATGTGAGTTTATCTTGTGTTGACTTCGCTCATCTGTGTTCCTGGTGTCTTCCCAACCGTGTTGAATTATTGCCATGCCTTCACATCTGGGAATTCTTGCTCCTGCCCTGTTGGACTAATTGCCTTATTTTGCCTTGATTGGACTTATAGTTACAGTTTTTGTTGACCATGTTTTGGACTTGATTCTCTGCAGCCAAAGGCTGTTCCTGGGAGAGTTTTTCTCCAGCCAGAAGGTAACCAGGACATTGGGGGCAAAGTGGGAGCTAATATAGGGATTCCTACTGATTATCTCACTGTATTGCCTTTGTGGCATGCTGCAGGTCATCATATTACATAAATACTACACACAGAACAGCCCAGTTCCCTGAGGATGGGATGCAGCCAGAGGTGGGCTTCACATAATTTAATAACCAGTTGGCCTAGCGCAGAACCAAAAATGTGAGAGTACGTGGCTTGAATGCAGCTTCAAACAAAAAGCAATTTCATGAACGTGGCTTCCAGCACACCTTCTCGGGCAGCTGCGCTCAGTAGAGCGGATGAGGTGCAGAAATCAGCTGGGCTGGGTAGGCAGGGCGAGCGAGCCAGAGAGTGAGATATATAGGATGAGATAGGATGGTCTCAACTACCAGTACGGGCGAACCGGTCCAAACCATCAGCAGCCCACCTCTGGCTCCAGCACAAGTCCAAAAGCTTGGAAGACTAAAGCTCTGGTCCTGATGACGGACTCAGATTGAATGCTGCAAGATGACATCTTTTTCTAATATAAATTGGAAATAATAAACTAGACCTGGATATCATGAACCATTTGGACAACAATTGGACAACGCTTGGCTTTCAATTACATAAAGCTGTAAGAGTCAGAAAACTTACTGGTGCAGGTCTTGTTGAATTTGGGGTTCTCTTGAGGGGACCCCTTCAGTCGGCACTGGAACCGGTGCTGCCAAAATTCCTGAAACCATGGATTTCGCTGGTTGGTTTCTGGCTGAAGCTTCAGGTAATAATCATCAAACCATTTCACACCAGGAGACTGGAGTTTGATTGTTATTCCACCAGCAGCTTCACGCTGGTAGCCATCTGTCACATCATACCTGTCAGCCCAACCATCACTGCAGAGATTTAAAAAAAAAAGGGGGGAGGGGGGAATGTTTTTGTGTTAAAGAAGACTCCTTTGAAACATGAAAGGGAATTGTTGGAATATGTTCTTGGCAATAACCAGGGGATCTGAAGTTAACAAGGGCTGCGGAGAAGACAAAGAAGGCACAGAAGACACCTTCTGTGCATGCAACCCTAAGTGCATGCAACACTTACGGTTCCTTCAGGTTTAAGTTGTTTATGTCCACATTGGAAGTGAGCTGAGTTTTGGCATCTTATCTTGGATAGCAGCTCATATTGCAATTCAAAGGAAGAGTCACCAGCCAAATTAGATCAACCAGAGGTATCAGGTGGAAAGCATCAGACTGAAAATGTGGACCTATCTAAAATTGTTTGGAACCTGTGTCAGCCATGCATACCTGCTGAGGTCTCATTCTTCTCAGCAATTATTCTACAACTAAGGCAACAAACCTAGAATGAATTCAATTAATGATCTGAAATGAAGGCTAAAAGAGTATTCTTGTAAGGCACCGGGGCTAATTCATAAGATTGGATTCATTAATTTATTAGTTCTGGATGGTTCTCAGAATGCTGATTATGATTTCTCATAGGATTGAGCATTATGATTATACAATTTAATATTTTGCAAAGTTTAATTCTAGGGTCACTCAACATTTTTGTGTAATTGCCTACATGATTATGGGGTTTGTTTGAAATTTTGATCTGGTTAGTGTTGTTGTTGTTGTTGTTGTTGTTGTTCTTATTATTATTATTATTATTATTATTATTATTATTATTATTATTATTATTATTATTATTATTATTATTATT